ATTTTCCATTATTTTCCAAAGCTCTTCACTTAGGCTATTTTTAAAACCTTTGAAAATAGGTTAGACTCAGGCGAAATCGCTTGTGTCTTCTTGCCTCGCCCTCTCTCTAACTCCTCTAGAAGAAGTTAACTACATGAACTTAGTGTTCATTTCAACATGCGTGAGCTTTGCAGTGTGACCTCATCTCTGTGTCCCCACAGAACACAGACTGTGAAGGCTTTAACCTGCGGGGAGAAGCAGGGGGTGGGGCCTGAACCCAGGCCCTCCTGTGTGCTGAGCAGGGCCCTACCCTGGAGCCACTTCCCCAAACCACCGTTTCAGCTTTTTACAAAAATAGCACTATGCTCTACGCAGTGTGCTTCAATCTGCTTCTTAGCACCTTACTTCCAAAGTTAATTCATTTCACCCCATTCACTGTCGATTTTCATTTAGACCTGAAACCTGGTCTTCCCATATTTTGCTTATTCACCGGACAGTTTGATCATACACACACACAAAATTTACCATCTGGTGGAGAAAATGAAGAATTGCAGACAATTTTTGGAGGCAGCTATGAATTCATCTCATCTGATTACCATGAAGAAACGGATGAAGAAAAACAGCATATATTTAGATTTTATTATGTTGTTGCTATTGCCAATGTTATTTGGTGGGTTGGAATTTTTTGAGACAGGGTCTTTCTATGTAGCCCAGGCTGACCTTGAACCCAAGATCCTCCTGCTTCGAATTACAGGGGTGTAGTGACTATACACTGATTATATAGTTTTTAAAGATTATATGAGATACTTAAGTAATTCTCCCATGGTATGGAGAACAATGGAATGTACTGCTGAGCTGCTCTAAGGCTATAAGGGGGAAGAGATTGCATAGTAGGATTCAGTGATCCTATAATTTCATTCTGCCTCTACTATCCTTGGAAATTTATTTAACTAATCTCTCCATTTTCCTCTCTCTAAAATCAATCAGTTTGGACTAGACACTCTTGACAGTAGTCTTCAATGATCTATGAAATAAAAATATGACGACTAAAAATTTAAGTCGTATTTAGAGGCAAAATTTTATTTTCTATGTGAAGTAGAGTATTATTATTAGAATACAGTGATACGATGCATTCCTCAGCTGTGCATCATTGTAACCAATACCTGACATCCACCATACAAAGGGGGAAAGGCTTCTTCTGTCTGGGATTCAGAGGTTTCAGTCCATGGTTGGCTGGCCCCGTTGCATTTAGGCCTGTCTCAAGACAAAAACATCACAGTTGAAGGAAAGCCGCTCAGCTGATGGTGGAGAGAAAGGGAAAGAGCTAGAGAGAAAGGGGCCAGAAATAAACCACAGGGCCCAAGATCATTCGCCAGGACCCACTTCTTCAGTTATGCCCCTCCTGAGTTTCCATTACCTCCCAACAATCCGAACTGCGGGCTCCTCGATGGGTGCAGCCACTGCTAAAGTTAGAGCCTGTCTTGGTTACTTCCTCATTCCTGGGACAAAGGCCCGACACCCACAGGGTAGGAAGGAGAGTTTATTTTGGCTCACAGTTTGTAGAGGTTTCAGTCCATGGTCTGTAGGCTGAGGGCGTGGCCCAGGAGACTTGCTCTCAGCCTGGCAGCAGGAAGCAGAGAATGATCAAGGGAGGAAGGAGGGAGATAGGTCCTGCTAGGCTGTGGCCCTAGTGACCCAGCTCTTTCACAGACCAGGCTTCACCCCGCAACACTGCACTTAGCTAGAACCTCCTCCATGCGCTAAGCCACTGATGAACATCAAAACCCATGATCTACTCATCTCCCCAAAGCCAGACCTAGGAGTGCATGAAGCTTTGGGGAAACATCTAGATCTAAACCATACGGAGCCTGCAAGCCAGTCACCTCCTCCGCCTCCTGGGAGCCCCACCTCTGAACACCGAGATTTGGGGGAGAATTTAGGTTGCAACCATTCACACAGGGGAAGCATGTGATGTTCGACTGCTCATTGTTTAGGACAGAGGACATTTAAGCATTTGCATGATCGTGCAGGGTCTGGTTGTGGTTTTACCTTTGCCACACATTTTGCTCCTATCTGTAATCTACTCAATTCCGAGTCCTTGGCAAGAGACCCTGCCCTGATTATGCCACTACCCTTGTGGGGAAATCAGGCAGTGATTTCCACAAGTGCAGGGACTCCTGGAGGTGAATCACAAGGAGGCCCCTGGGGCACCCTGTGTGGGAATCCTCTGCGTGGGAATCCACTGTGTCCTTACTAGTCTCGGGTCATTAGTAGCAAAGATAGGGCTCTGTTATCAAAGTCGCAACCCTTGGCGTCCTTCCTCAGTCCTTTCTGATGGAAAAGCAGTTCAATTTTTGAAGGCTGTCAGATTTCCAAGACATAAACTGCACTTTAGTCTAGAAAACAATTGAGCACGATTAAAACTACAGTGTTCTTTGTAACAATTCCAGAGTCGCCTCCCCAACATTCCCCATCCTCCCACACAGCAGCCCCCGCTGCTGTCCACCACTGCGAAAGCAACGACTGACTGGGATTCTTCCTTAAATTGTCACTTGCCTGGAAGTAAATGTAAAAGTATGATCAGGTCTAGAGACAGTACAGTGCTAACACTGGGAAAAGAAATCCTGGTGATTGCCCAAGCATCTGGTCTCTTGTTCACCAATGCATGTATGAAAAGCATAAATTTATATGAAAAATAGATTATGAATATAAATTTGTATGAAAAAGATTTGCCCCACCCTTCTTTTGCATAGAAGACCAACCTGTGAAACTATGACTGGGTTGCTCTAGTTGGTTTTATTTCAAAAGAAACATTGCAGAACGCTGTCCTTATCACATGACCTCTCCTCCCACGCGCTCCCCAGTTTTTGCACTCACAGAAACTACTCACATCATGTGCTGGGAATGTAATAAGATTACATTGAAAATCACATTAGAGAGAAAGGTTTCCTTTGCTGCTCTAAGTATTAGCATCCTCTCCCCTCATGGAGTTCATGGTTTATATTTAAGGAACTAGAGAATGTTTTCTCTTTTATTCTTTCTCATTAATTCTTCTAGAACATTTATTCATGAAATAGTATGGGGTCATTACAGTCTGTTAATTGTGTGGAATAGCAGATGTTAATTTTGAGACAGGATTGCACTAAGTCCAATATCAAGGCTCCGCCTCGGCTGGATTTCGTGGTTGGGTGTATCAGATCAGACCCCATTTTCATCTCTGGCTTGAACCCAGGATTGATCTACCACAGCCACATGTCTAGCTCTATTTATTTTTTTGCCTGGTGTCTATTTTTCCCCCAGTGTCTATCTTTTATATTTCCCTGATCTCTTTCCTCCCCTCACAGCCAATAGCTAACTACAGACACACGATACACCTGATTGGAAATTCTAGGTAAAACAGCTGCCCTTTCTTAGGAAGAACGAAATTCACTTCAATGGCATTTTGTTTTCACTTTTCTCAGTGGTAGGTGTCCACTTTCTTGGTCTCTGTCTCTCTCTCCTGTTACAGTACTGCAGACTGAATCCAGAACCTTTGTACTGAGCTATACTCCCAGCTCCTTTTTATTTAGTTATTTTTTAAAATTTTGAGACAGTATCTCACTAAGTTGCCCATGCTGGGCTCAAACTTGTGATCCTCCTGACTCGGCCTTCCAGAATGCTGGGATCACAGTTACGTACCACCATGCCTGGCTCACAATCTCTTTCTTACACATCACACCCACATCATTCTCTTCACTCTTGTGCATTTTCACTCCTATGAAAAGCTCCACTGATTCTGTCGTCCCATCTCCTTTCCCATGACTCTTTCCCTGCTTCCAGGCGTCGGTCTGCTTGAGTCTGCAGGTGTTTCTGCCTTCAGCCCTGGCAGTGTGAGCCGAGGCAAGGCTGCCAACCTGTCCAAGCACTGCTGCGATTGTGGAGGGCGGATGAGCATCTCTGCGGCTCTGAGCCGGGCCAGGAGCCTGCTGAGTCAGCCTGGCTCTGAGAGCAGGAATGGGGAGGCAACAAGGAAGAAAGGCTTCTCTAAGGAGTGCAGAGGAGAACTCAGGGATCGGGGTCTCTGGGGACCAAGGAGAGTGCCTTGTCCAAAGGGTCAGGGAAAGATAGGACTCGGTACCAAGAGGACAAGAGTCCACCTTGTGGTTTGGTTTCATCATGCGTAACACAGGGAGTGCCAGGAAGTGAGCAGGGAGGCTGGGGATCAGGGCTCCAAAGGGAGTGAAAGGTGGGGGGCAGAAGATGGCATCCAGGAACAAGGAAGAAGTAGGATTGCTTCCAGTACAACTGGTGCAGGCACTGTGCCTGTTTGGGTACAGGGATGATAGAGAGGGTGGCGCAGGTTTGTCACAGCTGCTGGGCAGGACAGACCAGATCATCCGGGACCACAGAGAGCCATGCTGGGCTTTGGCTCAGGAAGGTGGAGGTCACAGAGAGCGAAGAAGAAGATGCCCTACAATGAGTCAAGGTGACAGGCACCGTGCAGGGACAGGATAAGCCAGATGGCCGTGTTAGTATCCACCTGGGATGGCAATGAGGTGCTCAAATGAAAATGTAAATAAACACAAGCGGAAGTCCGTTTCATCCCAGACTTTGCTGGTGGTACAGGATCATTAAGCACAGTGTCCTGAGCTCATTCGGCTGGGAGCAGGATGAAGTAGATCCCTTCATCGTGGTCTGGCTACGTTCAGGGCAAAACCACAAAGTATGTTTTTAAAACTAACACACATTTAATAAGACCTAGGGTGTCTTGAAGAGATTTGACAGTGTTGAGAGTCATACAACTTTATGGTGAGAATTCACTCTCCAGGGATAATTTATTTCAATTAGCCACATTTTAATCTTTCTCTAAATTGAAACGGTAATGTAGATATCTAGAAGTGAGGTTATAAAAATTACTGTACTGTGAGTTACATTTAAAAAAATTATTATAATAAAAAATATATTGCCTTTAAATCCCTTGTATTTTCTCCCCCTCACTTTGAACATACTTGTCCCATCATTCTGGCCATTTTCCGAAGCAGTTCTGAAAACATCTGAATACTAGCATAATTATTTTCTTCTCTCAAAAAATTAAAAAGTATTATTTGTATTTACAGTGACATGTCAAGACTGAAAATTAAGCCCGGCTAGCTTTTGGCTGACAAACAATTGGCAAGCTCACAAGTTAGAATTTATAATCGCAGTGTGAAGTTGATGCCTTTGTTAATTTAAGGAAGAGTCAGCCTATAAAAGGATAAGATTGGATTGTAGCTAGAGATTGCAAATCTTGCGTCCATTCAGATTTTTGCCAGCAGGTAATTAATGACTTTTCCGAAGGCGGGTGTTTAGAGAGGAAGTGTGAACACAAATGTTGTGTGTTTATTTACTTCCTTAGTATGACTAGCACATGTTTAATGATCTATAAATTGATCCATAGTCCATCCAATGGTGTTAGGAATACACAACCTTTAAATGCTTTTGTCCAAAGTGTCCGTCAATCCATCCCAGCGACCCACCCCTATGTTACAGTTCCTGCTGTCTGAGTTATAACAGCTACCCTGGGAATCTTGTCTGAACAGCAAGCTGACTGCTGTTCACAGTCAGATCTGCTCTTTCCCACCCCCAAACATACACAAAAGATTTTTGTCATTCTTGGCATTGGGCAATAGCAGCAGTGAGACCTGCCAGCAGAGCTCGGAGGCAGAATGTCCCTCCACCTGTTCTGCGCTCTGAGACGGCTTCCAAGAGCGGGCTGGGTGGGGGCTGCTTCCTTGAATGGCAGCTGAATGCACCAGCAGGCCCTTGGCAGCGAGGCCCGGGCACTGAAGCCGGGCATTCAGGAGAGCTAAATGGAGACGAGAAACTTGAGCGAACCGCTTCCTGGAACATCAAGAACCTGAATGGGAAATTCACAAGGACCAGATTCACTCTATTCTTAGACCAGCGGAGGTCAGATTTCCAAGACTCTATTTATTCAGAGCTTCTCCCTAAAAAGTGCCTGGCAATGCAGAAGGACAATAAAAATACTCCCTTTTCTTTTAGAAAATGTTAATTTACTTATTGTTTTGTTATGCTCCTGCTTAAGAGTATTTTTTTTTTTTGCCACTCTATAGTGACAGCTTGGTACCCCAAATCAAACAGAATTATGATGGTGAGATTCATTTAAAGGAGACAAATAAAAACGATATATTGTACACCAGTTCTCCAAGATGAATGCCATTGTTATGTATCACAAACACATGCTAATTAAAAGTAAAAGAAATAAGAAAAGTGAGCCAGCCTTCCGGGTAAGTGGCATGAACTGTGGGTGCACCCAGGAGAGAACAATTCAGTGTCTCCCTTGAGTCTAACAGTGCACGGGCTGAGAATCAAACTTACCACCCCTCCTCTCCATTAGCAACTGGATGGTTTCAAGGGCAGCTGGAGTTGATAGCAACTAAGGTACATAAAGCAACTAAATGTTTCTATTTTGGGGTTGATTATGCTGACCTGGGGTCAGAGGTCGGAGTGTCTCCAGGGAGAATGACAGTATGCAATATAGCAAACATGGGAGACTTCCTTCTATCTTGTCTTTGAAGGCCAATATTGTTTTCACTGTTTTGCTTTGTTGTGATTGATTTTGCTCTGTTCAATATTTTGGTTTGATTGGTTCTATAGTATTCTGTTTCTGGTTTGATTTTGCTATATCTGATTGAATGGACAACTATTGTGAAGATAACAAGATATACTATGGTACCTATTACTGTTATCCCAGTATCCTGCCCTGAAGGTCTATACCAATTTCACTCTATTGTCTTGATTGGCCTTGTTCTGTCCTGTTTTGTTGTATTTTACTGTCTTTAAAATAAAAAAAAAATAAGTAAAGTATTTCACATCTCAAGGGACAGTCCTTCACTGAGGGGTTCTGGCTGCATCAGCTTGCTCTCATATCTTTCATTGGTGTGGTAACAGGGCCAGTGTCCCTAGGTGTAGCAGGAATAATGACCCACGTGGAGAAACCCTTACCAGCAAGGGGAATGAGTTGACAGCAAAAGACAGAACAGAAGTTGTTAATTCTATGTTCTCTATCTGGTGCTTCCTGGAACTCTAGTTTCAAACCCAGAGTCCCCAAAATCCTAGCATTTGAGGAAAGTTCCAACAAGCACCTGCTGAGAGACAAAAATTCTCCCACTAATTTCAATTTTTCAGAAAGCTTCAAAATAGTTGTTTGCTGATTCAAAATACAACCTCAAGGTTGACTTTTAGTTGGGAAAAAGAAATCTAAACCCCTTGGTTTCCTCCTGGGAAGATAAACTCATTTTTGTTTAATAAAGATATTTGTTTATAAACAACATCCCTCAAAACAGGAATTTCATGGAGCAAATTATTTTAACAGAAGCTTTTTAGGCGAGTGTGATGTACATTTGTAATCCCACACTTGGGAGGCTGAGGCAGAAAGACCACTGCAAGCTTGAGCCAGCCTAGGCTACATAGTGAGCTCAAGCCTGAGTTACATAGACTGGCCTAAGAAAACTAAGTAAAGAAAGGATGTCATTTTTGAAAACATTCGTTAAAAAATTTACAAACAGTGGCTAACTTTCCATTAGATTTCGTATCTAATTTGAAATCCTGAAAGCTTATAAATACTGTCCTAGGTGAGGCTGTGGGAAATTTCAGGCTTCCTCCGCTGAGTGTGTGGTGAGTGTGGTTTATGGGGTCCCTAACACTGGCCTGACTCCCTAGAACTGGGAGGAAGTGGCTGGAATTCACTAGAAGAGGATCTGGCTTGAGTCCAGCAAACTTCTCCTAGAGATGTGGATTCTTCAGCAAGGTTTTATCAAAATAAAGGCAAAAGGTGCATGGACTCCACAAACTCAACCAATGTGCACAGCTGTGTTTATGATGAGCCTCTCTCTGTCCGGGCAGCAATAACAAAATCACTTGTTTTTCAAGCCCTACAGAGGTATATTTGTTCCTTAAATTGTCCAACATTGGTCATATATCTCTCACATCCCAGACTCTGGGCCAAGGCTGGGAACAGAAAGACAAGTAAGACTCCTGGATATTAACAACTGATCAGGTTGCTCATCTGAGTTACCCTGACATCCAGCTGGGACTCAGATCCCCAACCTTCTCCCCACTGAAAAGATTGCACCCAGACTGCTCCTGGGACAGTTTCTCTACTCCATAGGTCCCATGGGCTTTAGGTTCTACACAGCTGGCTTCCCCAGCCAGCTCCTCTAAGAGTCTAGTGTCTTGTCCCAGACCAGATGCTGTTTAAAAGCTCTGATTTTCTTTCATTCTGGGTAGCTCTCATTCATGCCTGATAAGAGATAAAGAAACAGGGGCCACGGTCCTTTGTGGGATGCCCCCCACTCACCATGCAGGCCTCCAGACTTCACAAAATCCATCCTCAAATCACCAATCTTGTTATGTGACGGGATGAGCATGAAGGATATTGTACTTCAGCCTTGCAAGATGTTACCATGGGAGGACCCTGGCTGACGGGTAACAAAATCACTGTGTCTTATTTATCACACCTGTGTGTGAATCTGTAATTATCCCTTATAAAAAGTTTAACTCAAAAACGAATAAACAAATGAATCCAGAGCACAAATTACTTAGCTTGTGTTATGATTTGTGTCTAGATGTCCCCCCAAAGCATCACAGTCATGGGGTACAGGCTTTTTAGAGATGGATGAATCTAGAGTTTGTGAGCTGGGATTAAGTATGTGGATGCTGTACCCACCTTAAGACAGGTAACTTGCATGCAATATAAGGGACAGAAAGAAGTTTGTCTTCTCTCTCCCTTGTTGCTTTTGCTGTCTTCTGCTGCTCTGAACTGTTCCCCATCTGCCTTGGAGCCAGTTGATTATGGATTGAAATCTCTACAAACAGTGAGCAAAAATAAACCTTTTCCCCTTTAACCTCAGATGTTGGGTATTTTTGTCTCAGCAATAAGAGAAAAGTAACTAAGACAGCCTATCATTCTCCTCCTCTTAAAATTGCAGTATAGCTAAATAAAAATCTATCAGTGGCCACCAGTGAGGTTCTGTGGCTTGCGTATTCATGGACCCAGGCAGGTAGACCAGGAGACCTGCAAATGTGACAGAGGAAACTGACTCCCCTGATATAAGCAACCAGGAAAATGTGAGTCATCATACAGTGACGAGTCTCGAGTAGGGTATTCCCAGGATCAGTTAGCACAGTACTTCACTGTTCATAGTTGGGGACCACAGTTCTATCAGCTTCTACCCTGTTCTCTTCTCCACGGCAGCTTAGTCCTCAAGCTGGCTCAGGTGTGGGTACCAGATGGATGCTGTCACACTGCATTCCACGTGCAGCTGTGAACATAATCTCTTTTCATAAACTTCATTTTAAGAGAGGGGGGATTGCCATTGTCCCTATGTGGATGGATCCTTGTATGGCTGTGAAGGTTAAATGTCAGATTAATTGGCTTGGGTTCCACCTAGGGAAGTGGTGGAGCACATATTTCTAGGTGAGTCTGAGTGGGTCATGGAGAGGTGAATGGGGGACTATATTTGGTCTTTGGCCCCTTCCTCTCTGACACTGTTCCTCTGCTCTACTTTCCAGTCACCATGAACTAAGCATCTGGTACCACACCGCACTCTTCCACCATGATGTCTCTGCCCTGTCTCCAGCCAACCATGGACCAAATCATTGGAAACCATGAGCCAAATTAAACGTCACTTCCTTAGATTGTGAGTGTCAGATATTGTGTCCCAATGATGAGAAAACTAACATATCTTGAAAGGGGTGATCATTAAACCTGGTGGGAAAAAAATCATGCTTTACGGATGAGTCAGAGCAAGGACTGGGGATGGGCAGCAACTCATCACCACCAAGCATGGCTTTAGGCCATGAAGAAGGAGATGGAAAGGCAGTGGGAACCGGGAGAAAAGCTCTTTGATAGCCTGTTCTGATTCCACGCCATGGAAGACAATGGTCCAGCTTGCCAAGTAGGCCTGGGAAATGCAAAAGTGAGTGGGATGTAAGAAAGAGCGGTCACCATCACTGGAACCCAGAGAATGAACTTCCGAAAAGGAGGCTGCAGGTCTGTCACAGTTGCACTTGTTATAAAGGATCCTGGCTTGGGTTTAAAGATGAGAAAAGTTTTTTATGTCATTTTTCTTTGCTTGCATTGCATCCAATTAAGGTGAAATAATGCTTAAGAAGTGAGTATGGTGGCACATGCCTGTAATCTCAGCACTCTGGGAGACTGAGACCAGAGAATCACAAGTTCAAGCCCAGCCTGGGCACGTTAGTGACTTAGCAAGACCCTGTCTCAAAATAAAAAATAATAATAATAAGAAGAAAAATGCATTGGGAATGTAGCTCAGTGAAATGCCCTGGGTTCAATCCTTAGTGCTGAAAAAACAATGCTTAAGGGCTTTTTAAAAATAAAAAATGAAGAAATATAATACCTCCTTTTAAAATTATTTCTTTTTGACATTCCAAAGATTTCTTTTTTTTAATTACTCCAACTTTGTGACATATAAATGTAATGCCCACTGGAGGGTCTCGTGGGACAAGAGTCAGTCTGTGCATTAGAAGATGTAGCCACATTCAGTGAGAGTGGAAGGATGCAGAATATGTGAAGGTGAGGGGTATTTACTACCTCCCTGACTACAGACACCAGGAGCAGATCCCCAATCTCTTTCTGTATTCCCATTGCCTGTCACAGAGTCGATGCTCAATAAATACCTGTTGAATTCATTAAAACTTCCCTTCTCTACTACCAAACAATAAAAACCTGGCTATAGTATTCCTGGCAGACAGTTTTAAGAAGAAAGGAGGAGCTGGAGGTCTCTCTGTGTCATTCTGATGTCACATACTCCCACTCATTTGGGTCCTGAATGTCAGGTTTCCCAGGTGACCTCTGCAGGGACCTAAGCCCTGGAGACAGGAACCTGCTGTCCCAATCAGGGTAGCAAATGCTGAGCAAGAGGCAGGGCCTCGCCATCACCCAGCAGAGGAGGCAGGAGGCAGTGGGGCTGGGATCCCCACTCTGTCTCGCTGCAGACCTGGAGGGCCAGTGCAGCTGTGATGCAGGCCAAAGGTTCCTCCCAGGCCTGGGCCAGTGGGAGGAGCATAAACACACACTATGGAGCCCATCACAAATTTTAAAACATGGAGAAAATTATTCCTTTCCCCTAGAGCAATTTCACTACCAACCTTTGTTATGTTTTGCTGCTGTTACTGTTGCTGCTATTATTATTGTGTTTATTTGTTTGTTTTGTCAATTGGTTAACTGTCAATATCTTGAGACAAGGTCTCATTCTGTGGTTCAGTTTGGCCTTGACCTCATGGCAATGCTCCTGCCTTAGTCTCATGAGTGCAGGGATCACAGTCCCCGCTTTTTTTTTCTTTATTCTTTTTCTTTTTCCCTTCTTTATTTTTTTATGCTTCTTTTTCTCCTGTCTCCTCAGTTTCCTCTACCATGAAACTGATATTTTGTTAAGAAAAATATAATTTAATATTTGAGACCCAGTTTTGCATGATTTTCTGACCCTTCCTAGAAAATTACTCTTCCATCCTACATTGATGTTCATAATAATTTATGAAGATGAAAGGCTCCAAATAAGTGTACAATGAATGCATGAAGAGGAATAAACCAATTATTTAAAGGCTTAACATTTTTGCACACTGGGCTCTACCACTTTAGTTCAACTTGATGCCATTGCCCTGGGAATTCCTAAGATTACAACTGCCATCTCTGCCTTACAGGCTTCCTTTATCTGCACAGACCTTTCCTGTCCTGTGTTTTCTTTCCCCTGAGGCCCATTACAAGGCACTTGATGTTGGCTTGATGTTTATTAGGGGGAAAGGGAGCAGGAGACCTTATTTAAAAAAAAAAAAAAAAAAAAAAAACTAATGTGAACCCAAGTGTTTGGGGAAAGGTGGAGGAAACAGGAAGTCATGAGATGTTGGCCCCGACCTAAATAGGCACACTTGTGTGGGGTAAAGTCTGGCGTGACTTCAAAATGAAGAATGTCTTCCTAGTAATCAATTTTCAAAACTCAGTGTGCCTGTACAAACATACCTATGACAGTGTGTATGACTTTGTAGATCTGAGTCACCAGTCCCAGGTGATTCAGGTATAATTTCCCACATGCCTAGGACTTCATGAAGCCACGTGTGTGCACATGCATGTATATGTGTGTGTTAAATTTCCATTGGTGTGACAACATACTGGAGAAAATCGACTTACAAGGAGGAAAGTCTTCTTTGTCTTATGGTTTCAGGGCATTCAGTCCATGGTTGGCTGGCTCTATTGCTTTGGGGTCTGTGGTAGAGGAAGCAGTCAGGAAGTAAAGGGGTAGATCCCAATGTCCCCTGCAAGAACATGCTCAGTGACTACCTTCCCTTTACCGTGTCCCATCTGGCACAGGTTCTACCATCTCCCATTCACCACAGGCTGAGGACTAACCCTCCCTCCTTTGACCCATGAAACTTTATGGGACATTAAAAACCCAAATTATACCCTTGTGGTTTCATTCAGTCCTTCAACAGTTCTACTAGGTTGGTGTCTTAATCAGCTCAGGAGGTAGCATAGGGCACAGACATTGTTTTTCTCCTAGTTCCAGACCCTGGCAGTCCAAGATCCAGGTTTTGGTGGGGTGGGTGAGTGGTGAGGTTCTCCAGGATGGCAGACAGCTATATTCTCACTGTGTGGTCACAATCGTGTCCTCTGTGCGAGAGAGAGAGAAAGAGAGAGAGAGAGAGAGAGAGAGAGAGAGAGAGAGAGAAAGAGAGAGAGAGAGAGAGAGAGAGAGAAACACTGGTGCCTCTTCTCAGAAAGATAGGACCCAGGCCCACTCTTCCTGTCGTATCCAACCCTAATTACTCCCTCACAGGCTCACATCCAAATGCAGCCATGTAGGGAGCTAGGGCTTAATGTTATAAATTTGGGGGAGACACAAGCATTCAGTCTTCCACAGTAAGTAATGTTATTCTTCCCGTTTTTCAGATTAAGAGATTGATTGAGTAATTTGAGCCCAGACAGACCGAGTAATTTGCCCAAGGCCATCCAGCTGATAAATGGTGATTCCAGGTATGAAATTCAATGCCTGTGTTCTCAACCACCACTCTCTGCTGTCTCCCATCACCCAGCAGCCACCAGCACCATCCAGCCACATCTCCAGGCCCTGGTTTAACCATGTCACACTACTTTCAGAGATATGTCTGCTTTTTAAAAAATTCTGCCCTACAGGAAAAAAATCACTATTTTTATTTTATTACAAATAGATTTCTATATTGTCAAATTTAGAAATAACAATTTGTAATTATTAAAACCTAGCTTTGTTTTTGGCAATAAGGACTGAAACCAGGGCTTTTGCCCTGAGCTTCCTCCTCTGGAGGGTGGGTTAATTTTTGGCTCAATCTAGCTTTTAATATGTTTCTACATCTCAGTAACTCTAGTTACTGAGTGGAATTGTACTAGTCTAGCACATTCCAAACCCTGGGCTGCATCAGCAGCACTGCAAACAAATGAAGAAGAAAAGAAAGATGGAGAAGGGAAGGGGAAAGAGAGGAAGAGGAAGAAGAAGGTAGGAGGGGAGAAAGAGAAGGAGGAAACCGAGAAGGGGAAAAGGAGGAGGCGAAAGTGAAGGAGGAGAAGAAGGATGAGGAGGAGAAAGAAGCGGAAGAGAAGAAAATGGAGGCGGAGGAAGGGTAGGAAGTAAAGCAGGAGGAGAAGGAGGGGGAAATAAAGAGGGAAAAAGTGAGCAACCCATTTGAAAAGTAGATCGAAGACCATGGAAGACATTCACCAAAGAAGATGCACGGGTGCAAATAGCATAGGAAAAGATACCCCTACCATGTGCCATCAGGGAAATGCCAATCAGAACGGAAGCGAGACACCACGGCATACCTAGCACCCATCAGGGCTGCACAAATCCTGGACACTCCATCACCATCCCTACATCACTCCATCACCAAGTGCTACGGCAGACAGCGCAGTAGGGAACGCCACTGCTGGTGGGAGTGCCAAACAGCACAAGCACCTTGAAAGACAGTTTGGTGGTTTCTTACAAAACAAGCTTCTATATTTAACCCTTGTGGTTAAAAATATAACCAGTGGGCAATTTTTTTGGAAGGTTCTATTACTGGTTGAAATATTTTTAAAAATGTAACTCAACTTTCTACTCGGAACACTGGAGCACTATCATTTGGTGAGATTATGTTTTGTTTTCAGTTTTTGAGACCAGGGCTCGCCATTCTGTTCAAGTTGGCCTGGAACTCACTACGTAACCGAGGCTGGTGTCAAACTTACAGTGATCCTCCTGCCTCAGCCTCAGTCCCCTGAGTCCTGGGATAACAGGTGTGAGCCACCACCTGGGGCTCTGGAACTCTTGCTAGCCAATGAAAAAAAATTTTTTTATAGCAACTTACAGACTTCTCTATGTTGGAATGAAACATGGGCCAAGAAGGAGCTGATGGACTGGCTGATAACAGTCCTAAGGTTTTGTTTTTAGGGTACTGGGGGTCCAATTCAGGACTCCTGTCTGCTAGGCAAGTGCACCTGAGCTACAGGTACAGCCTACTAGCCCTAAGATTTTCATGGAAGTAGATGAGAGGGACTTTGAGATGGGTGAGTGCACAGATTCTGGAATCTGGCTCTCCAAGGCCATGTCTTTGAGCAAGTTGTTCAGCCTGCTCCAGCTCCTCCATAGCAAAATGCAGATAGAAGATATTTCTGCCTCAGGTGAGCTTGAGTGCAGAATCCATATTACATGCAAATCAGATAGGTTCTACAGAAACACCCACTAATTTTCTTTCGACTTCAAAGAGAATGTTTTATTATACTTTTTAAAAACTATGATCACTCCCCAAAGGCTGAGCTCACAGGGAAGCTCCCTTGTGGTAACAGGATTGTGAGCCTGGAGTCCAGGCCAGACCCCAACCCATTCTCAGGGCTGCAGTTGCACAGGAAACAAAAGCTCTGAAGGCAAAAGAGGCCTCGCACAGCAGGATCGGTGTCAACCGCAGGCTTTGCCCCTAAACCACTGCTACAAGGCCCAACCTGGGGCGCTTACAGTGCTCGCTTCCTCCTCACAGCAAACACGGTGGCGCCCTGCAGCCGCTGACTTCCGGTGAACACACCTGTGTGCAGCCTGGCCCTTTGTGCAGGAAGACATTGCAAAGTGGGGGTTTTCTCTTCACGACCTGTTTAAAATTGGGCGTCTCTGTTGTTAGAATGAGTGTAGATTATTAAGAACAATGGAAAACATTTTGACTGGCTGAGCCTAGTTTGAAAACAAGCTTGAATTTAGACAGAGCCATAGAGATTCAACTTACCCCCATCCCAACACACACACACACACACACACACTCACGGTCTGTGTACCCTGCTGAAAGGACTGGGGAGTTCTGTGGCTCTAAGGACAGAGTTGGGGATACCAGCTGGAATGGCTGAGAACCAAGAAGAGGAGGTTTGAAGAAGGGTATGAATTCTCTTCCCGTACAGTTCTTTGGACTTGTTTAAACCCAAATGCCTGCATGAGTGTGAGCCAGACGGTAGAGAGGTGGGGGAAAACTGGCAAGAAGCATTTTTGTAAAACTGAGGCTAGAACCCAAGGCCTTTGCATGGAATTTGCATTCCCCAACCCTTCTGAGACAGGAGCTCAACACACTAAGTTACTAAGTTGCCCATCCTGGGTTAGAACTTGTGACCCTCTACCTTTCCAGCCTCTCAGAGTGCTGGGATCACAGTCACCATAGCCAGCTGACAAGAAACCTTTTTGAGGCTCCATCTGAACCATTGCTGCAGATCACAGGTGACAAGGAGGAGCTCAGAGCTGGAAGGAAGAGGGGTTTCCATGGCTTCCACACCACACCTCATTCTGCTTTGACTGCCCAAGGCCTGGCAGGCCTGGTGATGCTGGCAGGAACCAGGTCCCTGGCTTAAGCTGAGGTCCTTTTATGAAGGCAGTGGTGGCACCAAGGGCTTCAAAGGAGGCCCTGCAGGATGCAGACTTGGAGGAGCCAAGCAGGAGAGCAAGGACTGAGTGGCTCTGTGTAGTTACAGCAGCTGTTTTGTAAGAATGAATGACATGTCTAGTTGGGGACGCCTAGAAATAGCTGGAGGACATGAGGTCAAACTAAGAGCCTGTCTACCTTTGTAATTTGGACATCAAAAGGAAATGAAACTTGCCTCTATGTTTGGAGAGAATTAGATACAGAGTCACTAAATTATAATTGCAATTAATGGGCTACTTTATATGCAAACCTAATTTCAGAGGAAAAAATTTGGTAGCTTACAATAAAATGAGATGAGAGCCACTGCCAAAATGTTTACGAATTGGAAGAATTGAGAGGCAAAAACAATTTTTTTTTGGAATTAGATTATGTGAAAACAGAAAATGACAAAGCTTGGAAAGACTGGAACTTGCCTGTAGGGAATCTTTCATCACAAGTCATTTGTTTTCAAGGAGACTTCAAGAGTGGAAAGATAGATGAAAGAAGGACCAAAGACTTGTCTTAAATGTTTGATCTTGCCTTACTAATTACTGAGACAATAGGAATTGACCTTATCAAAGGATGAGGGGGTGGATGGACATGAACATCTTTGGTCCGACTGAGTTTGAGGATTTGGTTTTCTGCAGTGCTGGGTCTCAAACCCAGGGCCTCAAGCATGGTAGGCAAGCGCTCTGCCACCAAGCTCCAGCCCAGCCTAGGTACTGCTATTGTACTCCTAATCCAAGGATATTCTGATATTTTGAGACACCTCCAAACCAGCCTTGTAAATTACTATCAGACATACAGCACTGGGACTGAGTACACAGTTCAATGGTAGAGCTCTGGGATTTGGCCCCAGCACTGTGTACACACACAAATGTACACACACTTACACAAATGTATACACACACACACAAATGCTCACAAGCTTAGGGTACAGACAGTGGGCCCAGCCCTGTGGGCCACAAGGCTACAGCACTGAAGACCAGTCCCACAGAATCTCAGCACCTGCCTCTCACACTGGCACCAATCTATAGAAAACAGTTAAAAACACTCCTGTGGACTTCCCTGTTAGAGCTGAGACCAGTGGCCTTTGGTCTTCCCCTTCTGTCTGTCCATTTCCCACCAGTGGTAAACCCTTCTCTGACTTGTGTAAGCCTTTCCTTGTCCTCTTCGTATGTGACTTATTTACACATAAATAATAAATATTGACCTGACTGTGCTTTAACTACTTGAGATAATACAGGCAAGGATCGTATCCATGCTCTTCACCCGTGACCCCTCAGGACCTAACACAGGGCCTGGCACACCGTATGCAATAACATTTGCCCAGTAGGTGAATGAATGAACATTAGCATCTCTGCAGATTTTCCCTACTTGGCTCAAAACTCAGGCTAAAGCACCAATCTGTTACCCACTCGTACTATTCGTATTTTTAACTATTTTCAATATTAGATAATCAATACATGAATATACACTCATTGTAAAAATAAAAAGGTCAAACACCCAGGTACACATATTAAAGTTATGGTCTTATATATTTAAATTCGGGCACAGTAAAGACAATTTTTTTGTATCAGGAATCGAACTCAGGACCTTGCATTTGCCAGGCAAGTGCTGTGCCACTGAGCTATATCCCTGGTCCAAAATATTTTTTAAAAATCTACAATCTGCTTTCATGGCTCCACCCCAACTGAGTCCCCCATTCTTTCTCCTAGGTGCAAAACCACTCTTTAGTTTCAGATGTAAACTTTCAGATCTTTTTCTGTGTGTTTTATAATTAGGTAGACTGACAGACTGTAGAAAGATCTTTGTGCATGTGTATCTAGATAACTATTCACATATTTATGCTGTCCAACACATACGTGGTGTATAGCTATATCCAGAATGTTTTAATTTGGGTTCAGTGTAAAGGCAGAAGCATGTGAGATACTGCAGAGGGAACTGAACACAGGTAATGGAAGATTTAAGAGGCCAAACGGAGAATGACATAAGCCACAATAGCCTTGAGGCTGGAGGGATAGTGGGAGGTCACTAGAACCCAGGAGCTGGGGACATCTGGAAGCATCCATATCCCCGTAACCCCCTCCAGACTACAGCTGAAAGCAAACAGCTGAAAGCCACCGAGCAGGGGAGAGGGGAGCACTAACCTGGCTTCCCCCACCTTCTCCCACACCTCTGGCTTTCTTTGGCCAAGTCTTCAAATGAGCCTGGATAATGTGGGGTTTTTTTGTGGTGCAAAACCCAGGA